CCCCAAAACCCCAAAACCCCAAAACCCCAAAACCCCTTGTTTTTATATAATTATTGACTGTAATTTCGCCATTAGCATAAAGTTTGGAAATAAGGTAAGAGCACAGGGCTTGGCCTTGGTAAAATATCATTCTGGCAGCTCTATGGGCTAGAACTTGTAGACTTTGGAAGGGTCCTAGAAGGTTTTAAGGCATTCAAAATTCCTATAAACGCTAAATCTTACTATAATGTTCGAAGCCATAAGAAACTCTTTACTTAAAGCAGCCAGACTGGGATTTAATAGATTATATAATTATAGCTGAACATGAATCGGAAACCTTTGACAAAAATAACAAAACAAAGTAAGCCATATCCTCGGAAGATTAAGAGAAATACTTAAATTTAGAAGAAAAGGCAGAGGTTAGAGCTCCATGTGCTTATTTGAACTTGTTGCTTAAGAATTCGAATAATAAATAACTGACTGAGGGAATTATTCAATCTGTAATTCAGTTTCATAGCCTGTTTATTCATATTTTCCTCAGAATTTATAATATTCAGAATCTATTTGATTGCTTATTAACTTTGGTTTACTTTTTTAATAAAAAATTGAAAATTTTCGAAGGATGTCAAAATTTTGCAGGAATTGTACTTGATTCGCTCAAAATTGTCAAGGTTGTTTTTTGTATATATTTAGACTATTTCCTTTAATTGAGTAAGGATTTTTACCTTTATGAAGAAGTTTACCTAGCAAATTTTACTTTTTAAGGAATGGCTAAGGATTTATCGACAATAACTTAAGAATCTACTTTAAGCCTGCAGTCTTTAGATAAAGTGTCTCAATTATTTCCACGATTGGTCCTTTTACTCTGATGAGGATTCATCTTCTTTAAGAGTCCATAATAAGATATTTATGATTCTTTGGTGAGTTTTTATCCCATATTAATCTTTAACCGCCAAGTTACTATTGCCATTAAGTAATTTAGCTAATTTTGGAAGATCGAAGATCACTTTTATGATTTCCCTTGGTATAAGAGATAAATTTACTTGGGCTTATCCATCTGATCTTTTATTATTGACCATAGAGAAGAGCAACTGAATAGGTTAATGCTCAGGTTTGGGAGGATTCAGTTTAGATGTTATTTAGGGGATTTGTTGGTCTTAAATTTTTAGTTTCACATCAAATTTAGCGCTTTGCTTACAATCTTTCTCAAATTTTCTTATCTCTTCAATCTTATTATCGGTGAGTTTGAGTGTAATTGGGGGTTTGTTCTTTGGTAAGTCACTGTTTTAGGAGATAGGCTTATTGAAACTTTCCTTAATCCTTTGTAATTTAATAAATTTTTACCTTAACGAAACTAAGTAAGATAGTTAAAGGATTTATTTTAGGAAATATTTCATTTTGGATTTCTTTTTATCAGCTTTTTGATAATTAAACTTTCTTAAAGTAAATATCTAATATTAAAATATTGTATCTAGCAAAAATTGTAACTTCTCTTTTCAACTATCTAAGTCGGCTCATTATATGAATTATTTATCTCTAAAGACTTTACAACAATTGAGGAGGTGAAAAGCAGGATTACCAAATTGATCCAATCAAAAGTGCCATAATCTCCTAAAATTTTAGTTGATAATTTCTTTTAATCAATTTCTTTAACCCTCTTGTTTAGAAAATTCAGCTCTTTTTATTTTATCTCATTTTCCTTCAAAATTTATGATATTTAGGGAAGTTCTCAGCTTTTGTGAAAAACATTAGGATTCTGTGCAGTCATTATTAACTTTAAAATAGAGATCAAATACGGAACAGATATGGCTGATGTCTGTACTATTAAGAACAGGACTCCTATACAGAAGAGGGTTCAATACCCTTCTGCTCGATCCCGGAATTATCTGGATACAAAACCACAGGATGCTGTTTCTAATAATCTAAACATCACTATTGATGTTGGAGGTACGAATTCAACTTTTATTCCGAGCTACAAAGAAAAATGTAAGTCTGACATGCTGTTTTGCATTTTACATTTTAGAATTCTGGCAGATTCTCTTGTAATTTAATTTCAGAATGTTTTACCAAGATTTTATAGCAAACAGATTCTACAAACCGGATTTAACATCAATAAGGGAGAACAGAAAACTCTCTAGTGTAATGAAAAAGAACAATCGAATTTCGACTGGATCTCCAAATATTCCGTTTGGATCTAAAGTTAAAGACAAGTATCCCTTCCAGTCAAATATTGACACCAACAGTTCATTAGCGAATAATTTCATGGTTAAGAGAAAATAAGAAGCGTATCCCCAAGAATACTAGCAAAGAAATGTGCAAAATCATTAAAAGGTAAGTATATAACTTCTCAACCTCTCTCGTACGGAAAATTTATTCTTGGTTAAAATATCACTTTCATTGTATCCATCACAAAATCATATTTTATTTCTGATGTATTAAATTTTGAGATTTTTGAGCTTTGCCAACCCAATCCTATAGTTTTAAAGCAAGCAACACAGTTTTGAATTATGCTCAGGAATATCAGATCCAGAACAATATTAATTTGTCAAGGAAAATTCGGATGTATAACAGCAATGAACCTAGAGAAAATTACCGTAAGCCCTGTTCTAAAAGATCGAACACCAGGATAAGTATTATTATATGTTAATGAATAGTTCCTTCCACTAGTCGAGAGTCGATGTCGATTAGTCCGAAGATATACAAACCAATTGAAAATACTCAAAGAGTGTCTCCTCCAGGACTTCAGAATAGTTTGCCTAGGACTCCTCTGAAACTCAGGCCTAATGGTGTACAGTTGGTAAAGAAGGAAGAGGTAAGCCATCAAAGAAACTAAGAGAGTTGTGTCTTGTACAATGCATTATTTCTTTCCTTTTGAGATGTTCATCCTATTATGAATCTCTATTTGCAGGGTTTGCTTATTGTTCAGAATTTAATATTTACTGAATTCCATCAGAATCCCTGAATTTGTATTTTAGGTACTTCATTTAAAAGATCAAATACGATCTGCTTTGACTACTCTTGGCCCAAATTTTATGAAAGATCTGCACCAAAGAGACTACATATCCCTCCCCGAACTTATCGATAGCTTCAGAGATAACTTGCTACTCGCCAAGAAAGATGGTAAATTTTATCTCTAATTTATACAGCAACTGACTTTGCTAAATATCTAGCAGAACAAGAATGTGCTACCTCTTGGCTTGCGAACCCTCTTTCTAAAAATATCTGCATGGCTACAATTGATAACAAGATTAAGGAATTTGCTGAAGATTATGAGAAGATAGACTACAACCTTGAGCAATTTATTGAAGAATACAAACATTTCAGAGATGAAAAGAGAAAAGAAAACATTCTTCAAAGTCTCAAGAAACTGGGGGAGAGGCAGTACATTACTCCAATGAATCTGACCAGAGCCTTTATTGATGCAGGATATCTCACTGATCTTGATAAGTTCATTATTATTTTGCTCCGGAAGAGCTCCTCATTGCACCAAATTGACAGTAAGGTCTTGAATGAAGAGATCACTGAGCAAATTAGCAAGATCAAGCCAAATTTTATGAGGAGAATCACTTCTCCAAAGAAGATGACATTTAAAGGGGCTGCATCCAAGAAGATTTCTAAGAAAATAAATATTGTGGATAAAGTTGCAACCAAAATTGCTCTTAAGCAGCTCAGAAAATCTCAATGAACCAACCCTCAGCAAAGCAAATAAAGAATCATCCATTGATGAAGGAGAAAGAACAAAGACAGAGGTTCTCTTTACAATTTCCGACACTCTTTTTGGCATGAAAAAGACTCTTTCTGAAGTATGTAAAGGGTACATTTACGATAGAGTAATAGATGGAGTAGAGTATCAGCTAATTAAGAGACAAAGCTTGATAAATGCCTTCAAAAATATACGCATAAATTTCACAACTCCTGAGTTATGTGAACTTAAGAGCACCTTAAATCCTATTTTCAGAGATTACTGCGACTTGGGAGCCTTCATTGATGTCTTATCAACATTAGGAATCAAGGAAGATATCCCTGTAGGCAACAAATATATGGACTATCATACACTCGAGCCTACTGCAATAAGAATATTTAACTTAATCAATGAATATATGGAGAAAAACATGATTGGAATCCCCAAAGAAATTTTTCCTCCTAAAATGATTTCTGTGGTAAACTGTGTCTCAAAAAATAAGAAGGAAGATCTAGAAGTAATTGATTTTATAAAGGTTAGAAATTTCTTAAGAGAAAAAGAAATTATTCGATACGGAGAAGATCTGGATGAAAATTTCAAAAATTTCCTAGAAATGGACCCTCACCATGAGGATTTAATGATGATGAGAAAATTTAGCAAAGCTTTAATACAAATAAGGAATTCAAAGTACTTTCGAACCTTTGGGACTCAGAAACGAATTGACTTTAATATTACAGAAGAGAAAGATGTTCAGAGAGAAAAGAGTCAAAATCTAATAGGGTTTATCTCAAAATGTGCTGAAGAAGTTAACCTTAAAGATAGAATTGATAGAATGATGGAGTGCTATAGAATTCCCAGCTCAAACACATTCAATCCTACTAATCCTGATGAAAATTTGATTAATAATAAGTCTTTTAATACTCAAAAGACTATCGAGATGAGTACTAAAGAAGAGATAGTTCCCGAAAATTACAAAAAGCAAAACACAATGCAAAAATATCTCAAGCAGGAAGATAGCCTCTACACAAGCTTAAATTCCATATCGGGAAGCGAGGATCTATCTCTCTGTAATAGCAAGTCAGATGTGAGCATGAAAAGAAGGAGGTTTGGGATCTATGTCACAGGAGCCAAGACGAAGCCATTAAATTAGGATAGAGTATAATTTCAATCTTTTACACACAAAAAGGGGTTTTGGGGTTTTGGGGTTTTGGGG